GGGCTGCCTGCAGCCCGGCAGCACCGGGGGGCGGGCGGGTGCGCCCCCGCCGCCGGCAGCCTCCGCCTCGCCAGCAGGCAGGTGGAGTGTGGTCCGCGGGAGCACGTGGGGTGTGCACACCGGGGACACAGATGCGCCCCACCCGAGTGCCAGCCCCGTAGAAGGCCTCGCTGGGACGTGGGTTGACCAGGTGGACGAGAGAATGAGCGCTCCAGAATCCACCGCAACACAACGTGGTGGCGGCCAGCGCTGGGCAGGCTGCAGCCTGTGAGCCGGGCGCGTCCCCGCTGGCGTGAGGGGGCACACTCAGTGTGTGCCACCCAAGGTCACAGTCACCTTGGGAACAGACCTGCCGGGGGCCTGGGAGCGAAGGAGTCTGGGGTCGTGCCCTCCTGGCGGCTCCCTGAGCGACCTCTCGTGGACTTTAGGGATGACCCTTCTGGGGCCGAGGATAGCGTTTTCAGACGGTGTGACACGTAAGCGTCTTCGGCTATGAGACGGCTTTGCAGACACGTCCGTCCTGTCGTTCCCCGCCTGGCCATTCGGGAGAGTTTAAGGGTGTTTGTCCGACGCACTCAGAAAGGTCCAGACTATTTAGTTAGCAGGTGGCTTTTCGACGTTGGAGGGTAAACCAGCCTAATGGGTGACCTTGAGGCGACTTTGTTCTTGTCTGCTCTGATAGGGGTTTCTGTTTGCTCGCTTTTTAAGAAATGGCACATACCGCGGCCGCTCACTCGGTGCCTGGCCCCATGCGGGCCGCGGCCCGTGTCTGCCAGAGCCCATTGCCTTTGCGCTGGTAAGTGCTCGGCGGGCGGGTGGAAACCCGGTCCTGCCCAGCGCGCCGCCCGCCTCAGCCGCGGGCTTTGTCCCACGGGCGCGACCTGGCAGCTGCCTCCGGAGCCGGTGCTCGGCCGCGCGTGCGACCCTGCGGTGTCCTCAAACAGCGCCGCGTCCTCCGTGCACGTTCAGGCACCGATGACCCGCTTCGCGATCTGTCTTCAGGCTCCGTGGCCTCCAGGAAGTGGGTTGGGACAGTTGTTCGCGTCATCGTTGTGACAGAACATCGGTGGCGAGATTGCACGGGCAGCCACCGGCTCCCCAGGGAAGTGGGGAGAGGAGGAACCGGCGTCCGGAAAACTCGGGGCGAACCCAGGTTCACGCGACTGCTTCAGGCCCCACGGGCACCGTCTCCCCTTGCGAGTGGCCTTCCTGGGATTTCCCACGTGTCCCTGAAAGACGGTGTCACTTCGCTTTGTTTTCGCTCCTGCCGGGCGGCTCGGGAGGCAGAAGGGACCCGCGGGTGTCCCTTCTCCGTCAGGCATCGTCCTGCCTGGGCTCCGCCTGCAAACAGGCCCCAGGTCAGAGTCGAAACCCAGGCTCCAGAGCCCGGGGCCTTCTGCGGTTCCACACAGGAGCAGGGCCTCCAGGGAGTCCCCGGGTCACCAACGCAAGTTAGGGGGCCTGGGCACGCCACCCGACCCTTTCCTGCTCCTGCGAAGACGCCCTTCCTGGGCCTCCGGCGAGCCCGGCTCCAAGCAGGCAGCGGGCTGAGGGGGATGACTGGGCAGGTGTTCGTGTGTGAGCGCCACGTCGTCACCGCAGGCCGGGGCCGACCCGGCACGTCAGGGGACGTCCCAGGGACGACACACCTGCCATGTGCTGGTCATGAAGTTTCATAAATCAGCGTAATTCGCTTTTAATGCGATTTACGTGGTATTCATTTACTGAAAGACGACAAATAAGGCACGACATTCCAGCAAAGATGGCAGAAGAAGCCCACGGAGGGCCGGGTCTTGTTTCCGATCCCTGGGGGCTGGGCCGAGCTCGGAGCTCGGTCCTTCTGTGGTCCGGGGCCGGGGCCCCCTGTGGACACGGGAGGGCGTCCCTCGGAGGTCTGGTTTAAAATCGAGGTTGCGTAGAGTCTTCTTGCCGTCGTTTTGGGACACCATGGGGCAGAATCGGTACCCTGAGGACAGGATTCCCGCCCCGGACATTCCGCTGACATCCGAGCGAACGGCCCCGCGTCCTTGTGCCCTTCCGTGACCGCTTCCTGGCTCATGCACCGTTCGGGGTCACTCACTCCCCTGGCAAAAGCGGGCCTGTCTCCTAGTAGGGCCGACACAGATGACCTCGACTGACCTTCAGGTTCGAGGTGCTGGGGCACCCTTGTTTCCCTCGCAGTCTGCCTCAGCCGGCGGGAGTGTGGGGGTGGCCGATAGCTGAGCCCTCCTCCCACCGTCCGCCCACCGGATGCTCCTTCCACCCCATGCCCGGGTCAGGAGCATTCGGTGACGAAGCCCCCCTTCTCCTGGGTGTTTGGGGGCACACCAGGAGGTGGTTCCTGGCATTTCGGAAGAAAACGCACCTTGCGTCAGAAGTGCCTCCCCGTGAGCCTGACCTGGCCCGCCACATCTGTGGGGACAGATGGGAGCTGGCATGAGTGGCGACGGCCCTGGGCTCCGTCTCCGAGGGAGGCGGTGCACCCCCCGGCCCCCTCCACCCAGATGGGCGGCCTGCCGGCTGACGCAGCCACCACTCACCCTGCCTGGAATAAATCACCCTGTGATTGCATTTTATTGCCCTGGGGTCTGAAAAATACAATGATTTTGATCATTTGTTGAGTAAATCATGACATTTATCATCGTGCTGTTTATTTGGCTAATTAAGAGATGCCTGCGAGTGGCAGCCCCGAGGGCGGCGGCCGTGGGACCAGGTGCCTCGGAAACGCCGCGCGCCCCACCGGCAGGCTGCCTTCCGCACGGAGGGGGTGCGCTCTGCCTGCTCCGTGGCTGAGCGCCTGCCGCCCCCAAAAGCCAGCCCGCGGTGGCTGGCCGGCCCGTGCCTGCACACCCCTGTGGGGTGATGCCCTGCTCCGTGTAAGGGGCCGGTGGGAAACATTAACGCGAGTCGATGGGCTTTCAATTATCTGAACAATTTGCTCAAGTGCATCACCTCGTCCTCTCGGCTTCGGTTCTGAATATTAACACCGTGTTCACTTGTTCAGTCGACAGACAGGCTGTGCTCGGGCCTGTGGGGAACAGCTGCCTGATTCTCCCGCGCTCCAACCACGTGGCCCCCAAGCCGGCTCCTCCAGGGTCCCGGGACCCGTGGGGGGCGTTGGCGGGGGTCAGGACCCGCCGCCCCCACCCATGGACTGCAGGCGGCCAGGGCACCCAGAGTCGCCAGGGCACAGGATGCCACAACCCCGCACTCTCAGATTCTGGGACGTTTCTGTACATTTAAGATTAAATTATCATCCGGGACGCCGGCCGTAAAGAAAAGCGGTGCGTTCTTCTCCTGGGCCGGGGTGAGCATCCTTAGAATGGGACGGGTTTGCAGGCCTCTTTTTGGTGCAGAGCGGCAGGCCGACGACGCGGCCCGT